CCCAGGGTGTAACCAGCAGTGGGAGCTGCCCCCACCCTTCCCCCCCACAAGTCAAGCCTGTCCCACACCCCTGCCCCCCTGGGCAGCACCTGCCCCTGCTCCCTCCCTCACAGCGGGGGTGCTGATCTGCCCCCCCACGCTCCTTCTTTCCCCTTTCCCTTTCCAACTTACCAGCTGGAAGCAGCTCTCCATGCTGCCTGCTCTGCTCCATGCTGCACTGCAGCTGCGCACAGCACAGGCATTTATTGGACAAATTATCAGCCCCATTGGGCTGATATCCAATACAGTAAATTTTCTTTATATTAGTACTGATTCAATATCGGACTGATGTATTGATGCACCTCTAGTATTTGTTTATCCTTTAATGTTGTTTTTCCTCCTCTTTTCCTACTACTACTCTGGCATGGCCCAGGCTATCACTTCAATACAATCATTTTCAGATTTTATATAAGAAAAACATTAACAATTTTAAAACATAAGACCAACCTATTGCCAAGTCCAGGCTGAGCATCTGCAGTTGCTGGACTGAGCCATAGGTAGGAAGACAGATGGGTAGACCAGAAGGAAACATCATGGAGCAGAAATCTGGGAGGGACAGGGTCTAAATAGAGATCTAGGACTCACAAATGTATAACAGAACCATACTCCCCAGTTTCAGAATTCCAGAGGCTTTAGACAGGAGACAGAGGCAATAGGTAAAAAGAAGATATAAAATGGAAGTCAAAGACATCAAGAAGGCAGAGGGGGAGCAGGAACAAATTAAAGATCTCCCCCACCCCTACCCCCATATCCTAATCCCACTTCTTCTCCCACCTGCCCAATTTGGTAGGAAGCCCAGTTTAATTGGTCTTCACACTTCTGTTGGAGGATAGCTTCTTCTTGAAAACTTTCAACTTGATTTAAAATAGCAACAAACTTTTTTTAAGGACCAAATTTTAAGTCTGTAAATGGAAAGTTAATGATTCCAGCTGGTTCTTCGCTGTCATATACGCTTCATAATTTTACATTTTTATACTGGAGTAACACCCTAATGTCCCAGTCAGGATCAGGGTTGCTGTATTAAGTGCTATATAAAATAGCAGATGGCTTGGTTCCTGACCAGCTTAGTATTTCTCATTCAATCTTAATTTTATCTTCTTGACTTGTTCTGTAATAGAAATGCACTGTGGGATGCATGCAAATGAATTTATACCCTGTTTATTAATAGGCACTAAAGATTTCAGAAGTTCAAGACCATATTAAGCTGTGTCATTCCTCAAGTTCTAACTAATGTTTTTGTAGCAAGTAATACGTTTCAAAAGAACTGGAAAGATTTGCTTTTCATTATACACTCTTCATTAAATGGTGGTGTCAGTTAATATAAGAGCAATTTAAGACTTGCAATTTTGTAATACATCTTGTAAACATACTTCAATAACAAGTAGCAAGTAGTGTTGTCGCTTGTTACAGTGTATTACAAATGGAAAGTCCTTAAATAGAAAATCTGATTTTCTAATCTCTGGTTTATAAAAATCCTTCTTCAAAATTGAGTGTATATAGTTTTGTGGAACCATGCAGGGTCAAGTATTTGCGGGTGGGAGGGAGACAGCAGATGGGAAGGAAGAGATGAGTCAAAGCTGATCTGTATGTTTCAGATGTAGGAAAAATTTGGAAGAGGGAGCTGGAAGACTGCCACCTCTACTATGCAGCTAGTTTGTGGTGCATTCTGTATCGTGGTTGTGCTAGTAATGACTCTACAAATGGGAAAAGACTCTACACGTGGGAAAACTATTAGTAGCTTTAAACTTAGGAAGTGTGTTACATGTATTACATATAGGCCTGACTTTAAATAACAGACAATGCAATTTGTGTGCATTAACTTGGGCATAGCCTCAGTTTTGCTATTCTCTTGAATTTAAGAGCTAGCTCACAGACTCTTTGTTGACCTGAAGCTTTCTGCCAGCCCCATTGTAGCAGTCGAGTTAAAAATAGAAACTTCTTAAACATATGTATGTTTATACAAATAAACTTCTGGAAACCTCAACTACATGTATATTTTCAGGAAATATAATTTTCTTTTAAAATTTAGTAATGTGTGTGTTCTATACAAACGTGAATCTTCATCCAACTGCAGACTATGATAGGCTAAAAATGCTTTAATGAACTAACAAATAGCTCAATAGTGCTTTTCATAGTCTTGAAAACAGAGCATTTTGTTGCCAAACAGGAAATCTGAGTTTAGAAGTGTGTTTCCATACACATGCGAGAAATCCATCAGATGCACTCAGAGAGGTTGACATACTATTTTTAGGATCATGACATGACCCGCATTATTTTCACTGAACTTCTTTGATCAGATGTTCAAGGTATTGGTCATCTAGTACTTCCACATACCTCAACTGTAGTTCTATGCGTTTCATAATCCTTAAAGTCAGGCCCTAGAATTTATTTGGATGCTTTAGTTGAATAGGATTACACCTGTATTATCTAAAATTTGCAACTAGTGGGGGGGGGTGGGGGAAAATCAACTTTCCTTAATCTCTTGTTACATGCCTTCATTGTGACCTATTCTAATCTTATTTCCTGGCACAATAAATGGAATTAAACTAAGTAAAGATAGATACTGAATACCTTGTTTCTACTTTGCACTCAAAGCAGGCAACACTCACCCCTAATACAATACTAAATCTAGAGAGAATAAGCTCTGTTCCCATTCCAGGTTTTACTTCCTCATCTCCCCTTTTCCTTACCCACCCATCTTCAGGGAACAGCAAGAGTTTAAGCCACTTGCTCAGAGGATGATTCCAACAGCTGAACTAAAACAGGGTGCAGCAATGGACAGATGCAAGTGAAACAAAGCATGTAGGGAACCACAACCAAAGAATGGAAAAATCCATTTTTATATCAAGCTGCCATTGCTCAAAGCAACCCTTAAAATGGAAACGATATACTTATTTTCAGTTAAGATGATGCCATGATATTTTACTAAATAAACAAACACACTGATATTAAAATAAAAGTTCAAAGTGCTTGTCAACATTTATATCTTGAATGACAAAATTAAAATCTAAGTCTCTCTCTAGTACTCAGATTCATTTTGGAGTAAAATGCTATCTGTATAACAAACAACCCTATAACCCATTTTCACAAAAAAAATCCAAATAGATTTAACTATTCAAACAGCCATTTACTGTTATTAAACTTCAGAATTTTGGTTTCTACACATGAAATGAATCCAGCAAACTACAACATTTATGTAATATACAACTTGTAATGCTATTACAGCTGGTTAGATCTTAAACAAGAACTTACCACAGTGGGGTTACCACTGCTTATCAACTGGCTGACTTCATGGAAAATGCTCTTGCAGTCAATTGATTTGTCTAATGATCCTCGTTTCACTATGACTGCTACTGCTAACAGAATCTGCTCCCGAACGTACTTTTGAAGGCTGCAAACATAATAAAAATATTTAGTTCTTGCCATTAATTTGAACACCACAAGGTTCCTATAAAAACAGAATTTGAAAACTGATTCGTTTTTAAACGTACAACATGAAAACTTACATGAAAAAACTGGCTGCTAATGTCAACCAAGGATTAAGCAATTAGAAATCACTAGCACTGAAATGTTTTCTATCCGTTAGCAGAGGAAGATTAAAACAAAGGCAAATGAGATGTATGCAGAAACTTATAGAGGTATTTTGGAGGCACTTTGTCAGTACGTACTTAGGCCTTTGTAAGACATAGGTTAGAAGGAATGTTCGCAGTGACTCGATGCTACTTTTTTCCAGGAGAATCCATTCTCTTACAACTGCTTCCATTATCGCTGTGGCAGCTTGAAAAAGGACATAGTCCACTTTACTAGTTTCTGTTAAGAAAACCAAAATCATTCAGTTACTGGATGATGTTATATGTTCACTGCTCACATTTGTTGAACTGAAAAAAAACCTCTCAGATAAATGAAAACAGTCAGTTGTAGTTCTGTGAAGTAATTTTGCTTCAAGAGTGAGGTTCCCCCCTAACGGCACCTCAGACATATAAAATCAATGACCACAAATTAGCAAATCTTCACATATTATCCAAGGTAAGATTAGGACCTAAGAAGGCAACTGGATGGACAAGGAAGCAGGGACTGGGATGAGGAGTAAGGACAAGAACAGACAGGATTAGGCAATGAATGAGAAACGAGTTCTGTGGGAAAAATAGTATGTGAACTTTATACTGAGTAAAGATTATTTCATAAGGGTATGTGCACAAGAAGCTGAACTGAAATTACTAAGAAAATTTTCACATTTCCTCTTCCGAATGCTTGACTTTGCAAACTTAATTTTAACATAGTTGCGTGCATCTATGTCTGTACCATGTAAAAGCTGTCAACCTTACCCCTGTAAGTTTAAGAATCAGTCCCACTTTAAGTATTTAACAAGCATTTAAAGTAGAAATTTGTTTTGTGATTAGGGAGGAATAAATAGGATAGGATCATTTACATTACAAAATAATTTCAAACAAAAGACAGCATTGAAAGCTAATCATTTACTTAGCTGCCATGCACAGAGTACAAGCTTCCACATTTACCATGAACGAGCTAATCAAATCTCAATTTCCTGTTAAAGTGTAGGAGACACAGGCACTCAGGCATTAAAGCAATGAAGGTAACATAAGTAAGAGAGACTAGACAGGAGGCTAATAAATTACTATGTAGCATAATTTGAAACAGAAAAAAAAAACAAACCAGAATCTGAATTTAATTTGGTGTTACCAGATCACTAACGTCAATGCCTATTTACCATTTTAAAAAAAATTCTGGGTAGCACTAAGGAAAGAGCAGCATGGAGACGTGGTTATAGAATAGTGAGGGGACAGTAGCGAGCAAGCTCAGAGGCAGTAAGGAGCTGCAAAAAAAACATGACTGTGGAAAGTTAGCTGCCAAAGCCAGAAATATGGGCTTGGTTAAGAGAATTGATGGTTTGAGGAGCACAGCTGATTAAGAAATAATTTTAAACGCTGACAATATTCAGACTTGCACTGTAGCATCCATTTAAGATTTAGCATAAAGTGATAAACCAATGTAAATCTATTCAGTTTAACTGGATAAGAGTATTAGATTATCATTAAAAACCAACGCAGAAGCTTACACATAAGTGGGCCAAATTATAGTTTCAACATGCTAAATTTAAAAATTCTTTAATTTATTAATTTAAGAAAATATAAAGTTATTAAAAATAGAATCTTTTCCACAATGAACCAAAATTTAGCTGCAAAATTGGAGACATCAACAGGACTGAGACTTCCAGTTCCATAGGGCAGACATCCACAATGTAAGGCAAGTAAGTAACTGGTAGGAAAGTATGCTGTTCTCCTCTAGGCTAAGTACAGAAAGTCAAAAAGCTCAAGGCAGAATCAGACTCAGTCTAGGCAGCTTTGTCAAAGCTACATAGGTTAAACTGATACAAACAACTGAACTGACATTCAGAAAAGTTGGGAAAGGGAGGGGAGGCCTGCACTGACCATGACCAGTAGGTAGGGGGCGCTAGAGCACACCTCCAACCTGCTGGCCATTGTTAGCCCAGCCCAAGTGTCTCCAGCTGGCTCCTCAGTACATGCCCACAACCTCTGCTGTTTCCCCACACGGGGTTAAGAAGCCCCCTGTCCAGGTGCTGGGTTTCCCCCAGCCTGAGTCTCCAGGCCGGGCAGCCCTGGGGAGCAGAGGGGAATGCCACCCCCCACCTTCCCAGCTTCCACAGGAGGGAGGGAAAAGAAGTCCTCCCGGCCAGATGTCTACCTGTGCAGCCAAGCATTGGGACACCAGGAAGCCTCTGCTTTGGCGGGGCTTTCCCCACCGCAGCCCAGGGTCCCCCAGCTCGGGGCAGCCCCAGGGAGCTGAGGGGGATTCTTCCCCTCCCATACCCCAGAGGTGCTTGCCTCAGCCCCTGCCAGTATCAGGGCAGCCTCAGGGAGTGCAGGGAAATTCTTCTACTCCCCTGCAACTAGTTTTGCCTCAGAAGACTCCCAGCAGCTGAGGCAAAACTGACTGTGGAGGAGTAGAATTTCCCTTCACTCCCTGCAACCTGCAGGGGCTGGAGGCAAGCAGCTCTGGGGTTGGGGAGGAAAGAATTCCCCTCAGCTTCTGGGGCTGCCGCGAGCTGGGGGACCCTGAGCTGCAGTGGGGGGAAGCCCAAGCAATGCAGTCCCTGTTCTGCTCAAGCAGACAGCACAGCCCAGGACTACAAAGCATGCTGGGATGCTGAAGGACTATGAGTTACCTTGAACCAAGAAGGGATCTGGGGCAGAAGTTCCGTAAACCAATTTGCCCTAAACCATTTAAGTCTGATGCTACATCCAACCAGGTTTATCTTAAACCAGTTTCAGCCATTTTGAAAGCAGCTTATGTGCACTGAACTTCTGTTGTGTTACAGGTTTACACCAGTTTCCAATCACTTCAGCCAGTTTGTGTGCAACTTCTGCCCCTAGCCCTAGTGACAGCCCTTTGCCAGCAGGTTTCAGAGCTATTTGCTGACATAAGAGGAATATTAAACTTTGAAGTGGTGAGTTTCTATTCCAGGTTTCATAAAGGTAACACTCAAGTGGCAAGAGCCTGTTTCTTCCTTCTCTCCTCTAATTCGTTCCATCCCTTACCTGGTTTCTCATCTGCTATGCCCACTCCTCCCCAGCCCATCCAGGCTTTTATTCTCCTGTTCACCATCATCCGTCCCAGCTCCTCTCCTTTACCCCTTCTGCTTCTGTGCAACCCTTCTCCTGACCCCCTACATTTTTCACCTGGCTGCTGCCCTAGTACTTCCCATTAATCTCTCTACTCCATCTACTGATTCCTGTCGCTCTCTTGCTCTGCATATACTCCATCTCATGCAGTTCCTTCCTCACTCCTTTCATTTTCTCCCACCCTTATATATCAACTGCCTTATTTCTTGGCTCTTTGCATTCAACCCAGCTGCTACCTCCTTCCCTCCACACTGTCTGGCATCAACAGAGAGAGCAGAAAGTACAGAATAGCATCTCAGTTCCTGTCCCCTGCATCACAAGAGCCCATAGAAGAAGTGATAGCAGCAGAAGTCCTACTCAGCCCTCGGGCTGGAGCATTTGCAGAAGACCTGGGATGTGAATGTGGATAGTTTACCCAACGCACAGGAACTATATATAAGGATCTTGCATACCCCAGGCAGATGAAGTCTAAAGAATTTAGGTGTCAACCTAATGAATCTCTGCAAAGTTTGTAGAGGCGGTGATTGTTCAGAGCTTTCTAACCCATCTAATCTGAGCAACTTTTCACAGGGACAGCAGAAGACAAACTAGGGTGATCCCCTCTATTTCTACTAGCCTATCAAATTTCAGCCCTTGCTGTTAAGCATGGATCCCATAATGGAAAGTGTCAGGCAACCTTCATTATCTGTGGCAACATTAATAAACTCCAGAACTCTTACAGTATTCACCATAAAGAGTGAAGCAGAAGGTAAGGCAGGGGGGCACCTTAGAGACTGACTGGTTCAGAAAGCCTTGGGCAACAGCCTACTTCATCAGAAGTTATGAACAGACTTGAAGAGACCAGGAGTGTGCCCAAAAGCTGAATGTACAAGATCAGCTTCTAAATTATTTTAGAAACTCAGATGGACAAGGAAGTTGTACCAAAACTTTGTTTAGTTAATGCAACTATGAATACAAATAAGGCCAAAAAGCAGTGAAGGGAAATGGAGCTTTTGCACTGGAAGTCTTAGTTAAAGCACTCCAGCAGCTCTGCAAACACATCAAAAAGTACCTAAAATAAATAGTTTAAAACATACTGTATTGTGCTAGTAATCTTACAGAGCTATTTTTCATTTACATTGTAAATTTGCTGCACTTCACCTTTAAATTCACTTTCAGTACTGGAGTCAGAAGTAACAGACTGTTTCAAACAAATTTCTTTTAATTAAGCTAGTCAGCTGGGCATAATGAAACCAATTAGCACCAATTTAAAATGTTAGCATAGTCAGAGCACTGTACTGAAAATAAGATGGATCAGGAATCATTTAAAAGCAAACAGCTTAATTTTCACTTTCCCAACTGCAAAAGACCTGCATCATCTGACAGCCATTACATTACTGTCATTCTAAATATCTCAATAAATGCATTAAAGACTTACCCAAAATATGCTTGCAAACAGCAAATGGTGATTTTGACTTTCTAAATGATAAGAATATGTGCTCGGCATGCTGGCGTTGTTCATTATTGACCATGGAAGGTGGTGCCTAAGAGAAAATAAAGTTTCCCTGCATTTTAGTAATCTGTAAAGTAACATTCTTATTGCATACGAGTAATTTCATGTTCCAGTAAGTATTTATCTCAGTGACTAATACCAAAAAAGGCAAAATTAAATCCGCCATGTCAAGGTGCCCGTAATTTTTCTGGCACAGCCTTCCTATTAGTAGACTATCATGAATACCCACACCTACATCACAATGTAAATACATCTTTTTATGAATATTCACATTGCAAATAACCACGTTCTTCTGCATTGCTAATATTAAAACAAAAACACACTGAAAAAAGAATGATAGATGGATATGAAGATTCTCCATGACTCTTCTCTCTCGTGGACTGACACAGCCCAAATCAAAATAGAGCTCAAATAAAAAGCCCATCATCACCATCTAAAACATAACATGAACTACTGAAATGTCAATCAAGAGACATGGAAATATTGCTAACACAAGAAAGGTAGTACTTCTGGTAACTTTTTTTCCCTGAAAGTTTATATTTAGATTAGAAGTTGTAAAGAATATAGTATTTCTAAAAGGTGAAAGAAACTGGACGTGTTATCAGCAGTAACATACTACCCTCTAGTGCTGAACATTAAAACTGAGAATCTCAGTCTATTTTTTAGTAGATGCTAAGCACTTATTCTCATCTGCACTCTTTCCCAATTATAGAAAAGAATGATAAATATCCTTTGCTGTCTACAAGCACTTTTCTACAAGTATATTCACCAGCTCCAAATATTAGCATTATCCTAACCAATGTATATGGTAAGAGTAATTCTCTATCATGCTTCAGTGCAAGCTTCTATTCCTTAATAATTACACACCACCTCCATTTCCAAATTAATCATTTCACTAACATTTTACATACATATATGTAGCAAATAACAAGATTGCACAAATTCATCCATTTTATCATCTAAAGCAGGGCTGTCCAACAGGGACAACTTCTAATCTAAATCCAAAGCCAGCATAGCTCCTACACGCACACACACAGCCTCATCCTCAATTCCAAAATAAGTGGCTTTTCCCCCACCTATGTTAAGTGGAGGGGGAAATAAAACAAACTCATCTTAAAAACAAAGTAATATGGTGTTGCAAACAAGATCAGCAACTGAAGGAAACCCAGCTTAGTGCTATACTGATAAGGTATCTAAAATTCATAGCTGCACAGGGGATATGCAGCCCTCAGATGTGACCCCTGCTAGCCTGGCCAGCAGGCTGTGCAGCTTCTGGCCATGTAGAAGTTGGACAGCACTGGTCTAAACAAAAAAACCCCATGTTTTATCCTTGCATTGTACAGTCACCAGAGGGAGCTTAAAATTCACCAGTCCCATTAAGGTAATATCAGCATTACCAAGGCACAAAGAAGAGTCTAACTTTTCAATTAATTACATCAAAATTTCTAAAAAAAAAAGTCCACATTAAAAATGGACACAGGTTTAGTTCTAAGCCAGCCTCCAACTGTTCATTTGATCCAGTTTCAAACACCTTCATGCTACTCTTCACACACTGCAGAAGAACTCCTTCTAACTGTAGAAGTACCTTATAAAGGCAACCCCTGCTTAACGCTGTTTCGCTTAGCACTATTTTGCTATAACGCTAATTTTAACTCGATACCTGATTTCACTTAGTGCTCAGTGCGTTTCGTTATAATAATGCTCGCAGCCACCATCTTGGGTCATCAAATACTTTCGGTTTCACCTAACTTCAGTTTTTCAGAAACCAATTAAGAGCACTAAGCAGGGATTGCCTGTACTGTAAGGCTTACAGGGTTGTTGCTTGTAGCTCTGGTGGTCTAAGGACATAGGTTCCTTAGACAAGGTTCTTTGGGTAAATGTGATATCTTTTATTAGACCAACTAAAAGTTATCCTTCTTCCAACTCCACACCCACCCCTTTAAGACACTTTTTAATGTAAAACCTAAAAAAAAAACCTTGACAAGACTGAGGCTGCCAGTGTGCTGCAATTGCTGTCCATCATATGGACCTGTATCATCCTGTTCCTTGTTATCCTTTCTGTGCATTCAGCCATTATCTTTTTTGCCTTATAAATTCATTGTTAGCTTTCTTGGGCAGAAGCAATCTTTATGTTCTCCGTCTGTACAGCACCCAGCACAATGATGCCTTCACCTACAATTAGGGCCATGACGCGCTATAATATTTAAAATGGGTTTGTCCTTTTTATTTGATCGTTAGTTTCTCTTGGACACAGAAATAGGAAATGCTGATGGTGTCAACAACAGCACTGAATAATGCAGTCTAACCTAAGTGGGACTACACATATGAATAAGAATAATTATAAATAAGGATGATTATTCACATGAAGGAAAGACAAGCCAAAAAAAACATTTTTGCAGAGAAATACAAAGACCATAAGCCTAGAGAGATTATCAGACAAAACATTACAATTCTAGTTTTGCAAGTCAGGTTTTACAGAGAAGCTCTTCCTTCTCTGTCACATCCCACTAGCACTAGGTGGGAAACGCAAGAAGAGGATGAACAAATCGACTACAAATACCTGAAGTAAAACTGCAGCAGGGCCAAGCAGCATGTGTTGGAGGATTTAATGTTCTGTCCAAATTGCAGAAATACCAGTTTTTCACAATCCTACACTAGGAAAATCCTGGACTGCTGCTAGGACTATGCAACGAGCAAAAGGGGTGAAAGGGGAAAGAAAAGGACTTCTCTTTTTCCTCTTACCTTCACCCAGTTCATAATTCCTTCCAGTACTCATCCCTCCACAGGACATGCCATTCTGCTAGGGAACGGTTGCACAATAAAAGTTAACAGTTCCTCTCGGCAAAACAGCACAATGCTCAACATAGAGCCACTTCAGGGACCTGGACATCTTGTGGCTTCCCTCAGCACCACCACATGCATTGGCAAGCTCCCCAGAATGGCATAACCTAGCTCTCCTTTTCCAAGAGTTCAGTAGTGGCAAAAAGCTACAGAGTGCACCTTTCCAGTGCCAGCCACAAGCTCATAAATCACTACAAAAACTGTAACTAAACTTTTATAACCAAAGTTAGAAATCTTCAACAGGCAATGGAGCTAAGAGCAGGGCAAACTATTTCAGGAATTCCAAAGATGAAGCTGGAATGACAATCAGGACACAATGGGATTCGCAGTATAATAAAAACATAGGACTTGCTACACCAGATCCGACCTTAGTCATTCGAATCTGATGTCCTCACTCCTTCTGGGCAATGATAGATGCCTCTGAGGGTGGGGAGAAATCAGAACAAACTTACCATTAACAGTGATAAAAATAATATACTCAAAAGGGTTTTTTTTTTTAACCATAGGTTGCTGGCTTATACTCTCAAATGAGGGTTTATTTTTCTTATAGATGCTTATGCCAGCTAGCACAGCTGTAGATTGTTCCTTATTCACATACGGAAATCTTATTGTTTCTGGGATTCTACTAAGCATTTAAAAAAAATGTTAAGGGTAAAGATCAGTGAGTTAACTATACATTACGTAACATATCTTGTGAGCTGTTTTTCCAGTGTTACTGCATATGCCCTTCCTTTTATACTAAGACAAAGTAAATAAAAGTACCCAATGCAATTAATCCTGTGGAGACATTATTTGTATATTTCCACCATGCTCTCGCTTATCTGTTCCTCTCTAAATAGTCATAATTTTCCAGCATTCACCTCATATAATGGAAACTTTCCATATATATAAGTTTAGGCAGGAGGCAGGGAAGGGCAGGGCAACACCTTATGGACTAACTTGTTCAGAGACATGAGCTTTGATAAGCTACAGCCTACTTGGTCCGATGCTATGACCATGTAAGCTGTAGCCTATGAAAACTAATGCCTCTAAATAAGTTAATTTATAAAGTGCCACCCTGCCCTACCGTCCTTCCAGCTTCAGCATAACATGGCTAACTATCTCTCTCCATTCCTAAGTTTAATTGCCTGACCCTTTCTTCTATTCCTAATAAAAAATAAATAAAAATAAAAAAACTTTTGAGAGATACAAGTGAATATAAAAATCAGTGGTATTATTTCTTTTAATGCTAAAGAAAAAAATGGGCTCTAAAGGATATAAATAAAAAGAGAGAGTGAATTCAGAAAGGGTCACACAGGTATGCAAAAAAGTGATTACAGACAAAAAAAAAAATCTTAAAATGAATGAATGCACATTGAAAGTCAACACGAAAAGGATGATGTGTTTTGGCAAGGGCCAATAAACTGAGACCTGGAAAGCAAACAGAGAATGTAAAAAAACTACAGAGGAAGATCAATCAAGGTAGGCTAGACTGACAGTGACAAGCAGCGGGAGTGAGGAAAGCAGGAGGTACATAATAAAGCTGGTTCATATACTGAGTGGATACCTAGCCCTACTGAAGTCAGTGGGAAAACACCTTTGACGGTACCATCAAGTCACTTCATATACACATTTAAGGTTATACATACTTCCCCTCCCCTCACTGATTTAATTCTGAAAGCGGATTTTAAGGCGGAAGAGGAGGGGAAGGAGTAGAAGTCTTGTATCTGATCCCTGCTTTACCTCCCTTGTTTGCTATATGTCTATTTACAAAATTTTATATCTGACCTGTGGTAGAAATATTTTTAGCTAATGAGCCACAACAATTTTGGATGATGTATTAACAGTGATACCAGCTTCTTTCTAGATGCACACAAATTTCAGCTCAGATAATATAACCTAGTGACCAAGTATACATCTAAAATTAACAATCCCTGAAAAGATAACACAACAGTTCTGTCTTCTTCCTAAGCAAAACCCAATGGAGAGTGACTTGGAGAGAAGCTACATAAGTATGTTGGTAGATCAGGGGTGTCAAACTCTCTCATCTCAAGCCAGATCTGGCCTGCAGGGTTCCTTAGAAGACCGAATCCAACCCAGCCTCCAGTGGTGGGGTGTAAAGCAGTGGCATTAACTACTGAGGGTTCCTGAGCCACAGGAATTGATGCAGCCATCACTCACCCCTCTGCCACCAACATGTACCTGCAAAGGGGCTCCATACACCAGAATTCATCAGT